GCAGGGCTTTGCACTTCAGAATTCCTGCTCCGAGAGACTTTTCCTACCTGTTGGTAGGGGAATTAGGGCTGCGGACCTCTGAGAGCATCACTCGAGTTACGCTCTCATCATATCTCCATCTGTCCCAGCCCTGATTCGATTCACGCAAGGAAGTCGGGTATAATTTCCCTGCCGCCACCGCAGCTCTCTCCATTGGCTGTCAGTCGGATGGGAACGTGGCAGGCAGTGCCGCTCACCTGCTCCATCGCTGCGGCCGTACAGCGCGGGGGGGAGCCGAGCGCTGCGCCGTGGGGCTCCGGGACGGCAGCATGAGCGCGTGGCTCCGCGCAGCGCCGGGTTTTTTAGTTGCTGACTTTGAAATATATTCTCTGAAGTCACAAATGCGACTTAAGGAGAAAACAGTAATTTGTAAATAAGCGAGGAGCTTAATTGGAGCTGAGTGTCCGCAATTTGCATACATATACGCGTGTGTCGGGTGAGGGGGAAGGATGGGAAGGTTCCCGAGCGTCGGTCATCTCTTGGCCGGAGCATCACTGCATCCCCGAGGTAGCGCTCAGTTCTGGTGAGGATGAAGAGAGGCGCTCCCTGGGGCCGGACCCTTCTGCTCGGCAATGAATGTCCCCGCAGTCAGCGCGGGGCCCCGCGGAACAGTGCCGGCGCAAAGCAGCCGCGTGAGCCGCGCCGCGTGCGAACTGCCGGGCGCGGAGCCCCGCTGGTACCGCGCTGAGACGCGCAGCCGCCGCTTCCCACTGCCTCGCTGAGATCCGCAAGTTCAGCAATTAGCCCAGGTAGCGACGTGCTGCCAGCGCTATAACTTCAGAAAGTTGTTTTTAGAAGTTCCTTCGCTTCCATTCTTCCTTTTCCTTATTAGGATCGTTATTTGTTACTAATGCCCCATCGATAAATACAACGTGCAGCAAGCACGGTGTGTAAGCAGCCCTGCCATGCGTTCTGGACTTTTGCTGATGTATGGTGTGCTGCTCAGAAGTGCACGCTATTGTTGGAGCTGTTTGTGCCGGGTGTGCTAATGCACTGTTTGATGGAGTGAATTAGCAGTCATAACAATCTGGCAGTCTGGCCATAGGAGTGTGCTCCAATTGATTTGTGTTATGGCTGGACTGGAAAATCTCGTGTTAGTTGTTTTTTGCCCTGGGGCATTGTTTGTACCAAACTCCACTTTTCATTTAATTTTCCAATAGATTTTGAAAGACCAAAAGGTTTGTGATCAACGTTTGCTGCACTTTATTATTATTCAGTTATTAAAAATACCCTATGAGTAATTTCAGGTTCCCCCAAACCTCGCTTTCAATTAGAGTAAACACAATTAGCGTGACGTCGTGCTCAGAATGGCAAATCTCCCTCTGTATCTGCTAAGCGTGTTATCTGCTCGTCCTGTCACCGAAAGGAATCCAGTTTGTATTTGTGTTGGACGAGGTCTGTGCTAATTTGACTATAATGCAACAATTAGAAAAACAGCACTGTGGTCCCCAGTTTCCTACTGCTGGTACAACACTGCACACCGACCCTGACTGCATTCAGCAGTTTGCAGTGTTCAGCAAATACCCTGGTGGAAGGGCAAAGAGGGACCTGGTCCCAGGCTCCTGAGTAATGCAGAGGGAGATGTATGAGGTCCCTCCCTCTTTCTCACCCTTCTTCCAAGAACAGAGAGCTCCTGGAAGTAGGATGCTGCCTGCAAACCCAGGGAGTGACAGCTGAACAGAACTTACCTTCTCACAGTGCCTGCTCCTGTCTGAGCCTCCTGCTCAGCAGTCGCTTGCCAGAGTTGTAATGCAGCACGATTAAACCTAAAGCGTGACTCTATTGATCATGCAGAAAGCCTTCTGAAATGATGGAGTGTGTTCTCTTTGGAAACTGGGGAACAAAATAGGTCACTAAAAAGCATAAGACAAGACACAAGAGAGAAATGCATTTTTTTGGAAGAATGAAGTCAAAAGAATTGCAGGAAAAAATATTGTACATGAAGTTAATGTGATGATGCACAATTCATCCCCACCATGTGCCTGTCTGCCGTGCATCCCCCCATCCATTCCTTCACATTCACTCAGCACACATGTATCTCTCTTTTTTTTTTTTTCTCCTTTTTCCCTGAATGAATTAAAATCTTTAATTATCAATAATAACAGGAGAAAGAAGAGGTAGTGGTGTGCTGCCCGACCTCCTGTCAGTCAGGTACTCAGATTCCTTGAAACGCAACAACTACAATGCATTTTCTAATTTCATTTCACCCTTTACAGCTGCCCTCAAAATTGTAATTTAATACAATAGTGAACCCTGTATCAGTCTTTTTTTTTTTTTTTTGAGTAATAAATTACAATCATTGTCAATACATCTTACTGCTTTAACATACATTTTATTATACTGAAATTGTCAAAAGAAAAAAGAGACAGAGAAGCAGAGCGAATCCCTGCCCTGAACAGTGCTATGCGCAGAGCAGAAACCCAGCTTCAAACAATATTCCAGGAAAGAAATTAAAGACTTCTTAATTAGTGCAGCAATTAAGCTTTCTTGGTCGCATTTTAATCAGCCCAGGCCCTATCAAAGGACAAACAGAACGATTTGCAGGTCTTTGAATTTTAAACAGTCTTATTGATTTCAGCACGGTAAGTCTTCGCATGACACAGGGAGAATTTTCAAATATCAGTTACAGTCACTGGAGTTTTGCTGATACCGACTCAGGGCAACAAAGAAAACACCCAACAATATCACTGCAGGAAGGGGCAGCAAGGAATGGAAACGCAACATAAAGAAAGTTCACAACCAGCTGTCTCAGGGTGTGTTGGTTGTGTCTGCGTGTTAGAACAAACCCAGCTGTTTGGGAACACTTACCGAGCTGGAAGTTTCCAGGAGCTTCAAGCCCTTCCATAAATCTCCTTATTTCTGGGTTTCTAATCCCATTGTTCCATTTAAAAGAGGAAGGTTAACCCAAACCTGTGGTAAACCCTTTCAAACTACATTTTCTTCATAACGAACCACGAACCACGATGAAGGTACGTCTGTGAGGCCACACAATGAGAAAACAAGAAGGTCCCATTTGCAGCACCTAGCAGGAAGGCAGGCCATACTCAACACAATAGCTTTTCTCATTAAGGGTTCAGTTGCTCTCTGGGTGTCAGTATCTTGCTCCTAGCTCTATCTTGGTTTTCAAGGAGCTCATTCGGTCTTCACAAGAAGAGAAGGTGAGCAGGAAAGGGGTACTGAGGCAAAGAAAGCACGGATAGAGCTGTTTTGCTACAACTGAAGATGGTGCATTTTATGTTTTTCGGTGTATTCCAGTTTTTACGTCAACTTTAGGTGCTGCCTCTGGGACTGAGGTTGCGTGAACTTCTCCAGGAGAACAGGCTGGGAACTGTGTGCTGGAGGATGTTCTGCACCACCGTGGGTGCACAAAATCCCAAAACGAAAGCCGCAGTGTATTTCCCTGGCTGTATTTGCCAGTTTAAAAGCCTTTGGTGTAGGATATCTGAAATTTCACAGTTGGATGAACCCTTCCTGGTACCAAACCACAAACGCTCTTCCATTACAGCTGGAGCACAATGAGCAGGAGATCATATGAGAATCGCATGGAAATTCCCTGCGTGGAATTACTACAGTGAGATTATCCGCTCAGAAGATGTGTCATCCTGTGAGTCATATCGCACATAATAACACATTTAGAGAAGCTACAGCAGCTATGGGCACATACATGCATCATAATTAAGTGCATAACTTGTACTTCTGAAACTGAAAGCCTCATACATGCATTAGCCCAACTTCTGCACGTGCCCAATGGCACGAAAGGCCATTTCTTCACCTCTTCGAACAGTAAAGTGCCCTCGAGAAAAGCAGCACAAAGCCGGTGCTCCGCCGGACCGACCCAAACACCCCACGTTGCTTCACAGCTCCGTCCCGAGCTACGGGCCCGGCCCTCAGAACCACGCAGACCCCGCGCGCATCCCGCGGGCCACGCCACTGCGCATGTGTGCCCGGCGCCGCGCCCGGCTCCGCGCGCTATACCTGGCGGCCCCGCCACCTGTGGCGCGACGCCCGCCCTCCGGAGCGACTCCGGCGCCCTCCCCGTACACAAAGGGGCCCGGCGCTGCCCTGCTCCCGCCCCGCCGGGAGGGGGCGCTCCGCTCTCGGGGGAACAACGGCGGCCACAACGCCTAGCCCGCAGCAGCGCTGCTCCCGTCCGCCCGCCGCCCCGAGCGCGGCGCGCTGTTGGGAGCGGATCCGCTCGCGCTTCTCCGCAGAGCGCTGACAAGCGGCTGCCGACACGGGCTGGGGAAATTACATCCCGTCTGCGGCGGGGTGAAACCTGAAACATGTCATCTAACGGTTCCGAGGGGCGGGGGGGAGGGAAGGGGGGACTGGAGAGACACTGCTCCCCGCGCCCCCGCTCCGGGCTCCTGGTTGGGTAATTCGGGTTAATGCCGCGAGCGAGCCCTGCGCCGCTTCAAAGGGTATTTCAAGTTGCCGGAGCTCCGCCCCCCGCGCCGTGTGACAACAACAACTCGTCCGGAGCGGGCGGCAGCGGCGGCGGCACTTCCCGGCTCCTTTTCTCTCTGTCATTCCCCTCTCAATCTTTGATCAATGTACTCGCCGGAGAGAGCCCGGGTCCTCTACACCTCCTCCTTCTCCCGGTCGCCCTCGCCGCGGTGCTAGCGCGGGGCCGCAGGCAGGAGCTGCCCTCCCCCTCCCCTCGCCCCGGCCCCGCCGCCCGGAGCGGACTTCTCTCCTCCTCCTCCTCCTCCTCCTCCTCCGGCCCCGCTCGCGGGACACTTTGTGCGTTCGGCGCTCACTCCGTCCCTGCTCTGCTCTCCCGCTGCCGCAGCACCTGAGCGGGGCTGTCCCCCTTTCTCTTCCCCCTCCTCCTCCCTTCTCCTCTCCTTTTTTTTTTTTTTTTTTTTAATAGATATATGTTTTTTTAATTTTCCCCCTTCTCCTGCGCGCGGGTGGGGGAACTCTCCCCCGCCCTGCCCCCCCCCGCTGTATATGTGACCATGGCCGTTCCGGCTGCGCTGATCCCTCCGGCCCCGCTGGTCCCCCCTCAGCCTCCGGTCTCAACTTCTGCCGCCTGCACCACCACCACCACCACCTCCTCGGCGGCCGCCACCTCCTCTCCGGCTCCGGCCATCGCTCCCCCGCCGCCCGCCTCGGGGACAAACCTATTCCGCCCGGAGCCCATCGCAGCGCCGGCGGCGGCGGCGGCCACAGTCACCTCCACCGCCACCACCACCACCACCGGAGGCAGCGGCGGAGGCAGCGGCGGCGGCGGCGGCAGCCCCAGCCTGGGCAGCGGCACCGGCGGCGGCACCTCCGGCACCTCCACGCCCAACGCCGGCGCGGCCGGCAGCCTGCCCGGCAAGCCCGTGTACTCGACCCCGTCCCCGGTGGAGAACACCCCCCAGAATAACGAGTGCAAGATGGTGGATCTGAGGGGGGCCAAAGTGGCCTCCTTCACCGTGGAGGGCTGCGAGCTCATCTGCCTGCCCCAGGCATTCGACCTCTTCCTGAAGCACTTGGTGGGGGGCTTGCACACGGTCTACACCAAGCTGAAGCGCCTGGAGATCACGCCCGTGGTCTGCAACGTGGAGCAGGTCCGCATCCTGCGGGGGCTGGGGGCCATCCAGCCCGGCGTCAACCGCTGCAAACTCATCTCCCGGAAGGATTTCGAGACCCTCTACAACGACTGCACCAACGCCAGGTACCGCCGCGAGCCGCGCGCGCGGCCCCCCGCCCCCGTCCCACCCCCGCGCGGTGCGGCGCCGCTCCCCGCTGCCGGCCCGGGGGTGGGGGGGGGCGGCTCTGCCCCCTGCCCTACGCGCCGCGCTGCTGTCCCCTGCTCCGTGCCCCCCCCTCACCCCCCCACTCCTCCCCCCGAGGCCGAGGTTCGGCCCCAAGTGCCGCTGGGGTGCAGCTTTAACCCTTGTGGTAAGGCGGCGGGGGGGGGGGGGGGGGGGGGGGGCGGGAAGAAGGGGGGTGCGTACCCGTGGGGTGAGGCGCTGCCCAGAGGCCGCTGGGCCGCCGAACGCTGTCACACACTTTTGTGCGGCCGCCACATGGCGGGCGGGGAGGAGCGGGCTCCGCTCGGGGCAGGGGGCGCGGGGCCGAGCAGGTGCGAGGGGGTTGGCGGGGCTGCGGCGCGGGGCCGACGCGGAAGGGGGGGGGGGGAAGGGGGACGACGGGAACGCGCGGAGGGGGGCGCGCACGGAAGCGCGCTCCCGGCCCCCCTTACCCTGGGGTCGGGCGGAGGGGAGGGGGCGGGGGGGAAGCCCCAAAGTTGGCAGTGAGCGGGGAGAAACAGAAGGAGCTGGCGAAAGAGGAAATTCCTGCCGCGGCTGCAGCCCGCTCGGGGAGAAAGCATGAGGCTGTTACCTCCGCGTCCGTAGGTTACGGGCAGGGGGCCCGTAAGGGTCGCACCGCCGCCATGCCCCCGCTGCCCCGCGCTGGGGAGGGGGCCCGCTGCCTCTCTCAGCGCAGAGCACGGCGATTCCTCGTTGTCACATCTCGGGGTGCAGCAGAAGCCGGCACTTGGGGAATTAACCCCGTGCGGTTTCGTGTTAGCTTCCCCGCACGGACCGGGCCGGGGATGGCACCGAGAGATGGGTGAGCCGATGGATGGAGCTCCTCAGTGCTCAGGGCAGCGCGGCCCGGCGAAATCCCGGTACTGACAGAACCCCAACTTCGGGAGCTGCGTTGTTGCAGCGCACATCGATAGGTGTTTCTTTTGCCAGAGCTCTGCAAGAGTTCAGCATTTGTTCCTTAAACTGGTGGAAGTTTCACTTTGTCACGCTCGCATTGTGCTGTACACAACTTCGACACGTGGGAATACAAAAGGGAGAAAGTTTTCTTTGGGGGCAGGGCGGATGCAGGTCCCCGTGGGTGCATGGCATGAGGCTGGCAGCAGGGCACTGCTGTGGCACCAGCGTTGTGCCGGCCACCTTCCAGCAACGCAGGTCTGTGCTGTGCTGCCAGCCAGCGCAGTGGGAATTACAGGCGTGGGTTCAGGAGTGGATGGGATCTGACCCTTAAAAAGCGTAATTGTAGTAGGCATATTTATACATCCATTAAGCAAATAACTTAATGGGAAGGATTTGTGATGGGTATGCAAAATGCGTTATTACTGTATAGAAAGATAAAGCAAAGTGGGTCAGTGAGTTTGGGTCAGAACGGATGATACCATCGGAACATCAAACTGTATTTACTTTCTGGGTTTCTCCTCCAATACGTTTCATTGTGGCTCTTCGTTCCTTGCAAACTAATTATTTGCAATTATTTCTGGCTGTACAGTGCTTACGTAGGGCATTGTGATCCACTCGGTGCAGTGATTGCAGTGACCTTCCAGGTTTTGCTCTGCTGGGCGATGTCTGTCTGCGTCTGGGCAGACACTGCTGCGGAGATGGAGCTGTAAGAGCCAGCTCCAAACCAGCGGCTCAATTGCTACAGTCATCAGATGGAGAAATTGTGATCCAGCATCTTATCACTGTTGTATTTCTCTCATAATCAGCTGATGCACTCAAATACACTAATCCCCTATTTTGGAAAGCTTCATCAAGGTTAATAGGTTGTTTAATCAAAAAAGGCATCCAAATAAAGCTATTGCTTTGCGTTTTTTTAAATGGATGGAGCCGTTAGTTGCCAGTTGTGCAAATCATTTGCAATAACTTATTTCAGGATAGAAAAGTTTTAGATGCATTTCACCAAAATGATACATTTTAACTGTGATATTGCTATTTAAAAAAAAAAAAAATCAATAAACCAAAAATCAATGAAGCACCAAGGGATTTTCTATTGAATGCTTTATGTGGAGTTCTGTAAAGTGAATTGGTTTCTGTGTTTATTTGTGATACTACTAATAATAACGTGATACTTAAGGACCTTTTTCTAAATTAGGCTCTGTATCAGCTCGCTGGAAAAACAGCCTTCCGCTATGGAGGATGACTTTTCTTTTCTGGTCCGACTGACCTTTGCTTTTATTTTCCCCATAAAAAGCATCAGTTGCCAAACAGAAATCCAGGAAATAGCAAACTGTGCGTTTAGCCTACATTGTGATTAAACGGTTTGACATTAATGGGATGCTGGAAAGCCATATGCCAAACAAATAGGAGAAGTGTAAAGGCAAAACACGAAAAATATTTAAAGCTATTGGATGCCCAGTCACATCAGGTTTCCTGAATGTGTCTGTGGAGCAGAGCAGCGCTCTGTGCACTGGATGTCACCTGTGTGGGATTAATGACCTGGAAGCTATTGATCCCAGACTGTTCTGGTCTCTTGTGTCTTCAGCGCTTGCTGTGGAATTTTGACATGCTGGTCCCTTTCTGGAATTTCCCATAGACTTAGATTGGCTTTGGATTGTGCCCACGGCAGGCTGAGAGCGTGCCTTCCTCTGACCTCCCTCCCGTGGCCAGGACATGTTAATCTCTGCTGACATTTCAGGATGATTTGAATGAGTTCATTGACATTCATACTTAAAGCAGAGAGTTATTTGCGCTGTTTGGGAGTTGTTTACAAATTTTGGAAAACAACCCCGTTGATTTGGAGTGCAGAGGGGAAAGATTCCTGACATGAAACAGTTCTCCCGAAAGCTTGTCTTGCAGTCTCCTTGCTGTAGCTTCTGCTGCTCTCAGTGATGTGGACCTGGCATGTGTGTGTTTGCTGAGTGCTCGCATCATCTTCCTCCTATTGGTATTAATTAAGGGAGCATCTCACCCAGATAGGTTAGTGCAGATCACAGGTAGTTTAAATGAACCTGTCAGCAGTGCAGCTGCAAATAATTCCAAATATACAGAATGTGGGTATGTAGTGATGACCTCCCTTCTTGCCGCCGATTACTAAAATATAACGTAATCGGCAGAAATACGATGGGTTTTATGAGCAAAGGAGACTTCTAGAAGGCCAGGGGATAAATCGTAGCACCTATAAAGAAGTGAAAGGTGTGGAGAAAGCTTATGCACATTTAGAACAACCAGCAGGGCTCCAGACCCGTGCGAGAGCAGAACTTCAAGGCCCATCTCACCGCATTTATTTATTGTTAAATACTATGGAGGAGAATCTGCGATCTTTGGAGCACAATGGCTACAACACAGCAGCCGGTTTATCCCCTTAATCTGATGCTGTGGCAGTGGCAGCAGCCCAGCATCTGACACCTGGGGAACGAGGGAGAGCTGTGCCACACTGCGCTGCCTGATGGGCGCTGCGAGGGCACTGCTGGCCACGGGGACATCTCCTCCTGGGTCTTCGTTTTCTGAAAGTATTCATTCAATTTTATTAACTCCTCCTTTATAGCTGTGAGTACTGTTCAGGATTTTTTTTTTTTAAGGTTGTAATTAGTACAAAAACGTACATCCTGTTGTCGATTCTGCATCAGCTTTACTGAAGAGAGCAGACTGTATGATAGCACAGCGACACGTACACTCGGAATGCAAAGTTCTTTATCTCCACAAACTCAGACACCAAGTTCCCACGTAGGCCTGCACTCCCTTTTCGGGACTGCCCGCAAAGGAGCGGGTCCTCTCCCTCCGGCCTGACGGCTGTTTTCCCCGCAGCTCTCAGCGCTGGGTTCATACCCGTGCCGCTCCGGGCCGGTGCTCACCTCCCATTGCGGTGCCGTACCGTGCCGTGCGGTGCCGGCGGGGCGCGCTCCCGCGGAAGCTGCCCCCTGTTGGCCGCTGCGCGCTCCCGGCGCTTCCCTCAGCAGTTCCCCGGCTCCGAGCGATCTCATCTGCTCCCAGTGCCTAGCTATGACTTCACAGTCGGAGTGTATTCCGAGCGTTGGTTGGGGATGATGGTTACTGTTTGACTGCCTCTTAGGGGTTCTTCTCCTTTCCTGTTCCCGGATCGTTCCAGAGGGCTGGTTTTGCCCATCGCTGTGTTTCATCATCTGAGGTGAATCCCATGTGAAACACAGAATTCTCATACTCTATGTTAAATGTGAATATCCTTCTCGAGAACTACGATCTGTTAAATACCTGCTGCCGTCTGTGCCACTGCATCCCCCCTAGCTGTCCCGCATCGGGACAGAGGAGTGGTGTGGTTGGGCTGCATGCAGAGGTGCATCTCTGGTGCAGGAGGGCTCAGCAGGAATCAGGAACTGCCGAGCTGCATCAGCACTGTGTGAGCACAGGGTCCGGAACTACGGCAGCCTCTGCCTGCTTTTAAGCAACAGAACTACATTGAGATCTTCTTTGTTCCTTTATAAGTTAAATGTGTTTTCTTTTAAAACTAACGTTTTGAGGATCTGCTCTGCATTAGGAGCTAATTCCATCCATTGTTTCCAAATAGTTATTAACCTTTGCAAATTATGTACTGCAGAGTAATTTTTTCAGTAATCTTTACGTGTGTGTTCTGTAGCAGCACTGTAATGTGGATAGACATCATAGGAATTGACAGCAAATTTTTCGTTGCCGAAGTACGCGTTTAATTGATGGAGCTGAAGATTCATCTGCAAAAGCTATTATGATGCACAGAATTAATTCATATATATATAATTTCTCCAGTATGCATCAAGGAAGATTTTTTTTTGTCCATTATCATTTAAATTATTTACAAAAATCCTGAAGCGTAAGCCAAAATATTTATTTTTACAATCAAAATGTATCTGTGACTCAACGTAACAAAAGGCAGTGTGCTTCCTGAAGTTACTTTGTCCCTAGGTTACTCCCAGCGTTCCGCTTACGTATCTGATACCAGGCTCAGTTTGGAGCG